TCCTGCCCTCCAGCAGATCAACACTGCCGGCCAACGTGGTGTCTTGAAACTTACTGAGGGAGCACTCGATCCCCTCATCCAGATCGTTGATAAAGAGATTAAACAGAACTGGCCCCAAAACTGAGCCCTGTGCCCGGCTGCCAGCTGGATTTCACTCCCTTCCCCACAACTCTCCGGGCTCGGCTGTCCAGCCAGTGTTTTACCCAGCAAAGAGTTCACCTGTCTGAGCCGGGAAGCACCTTAAAGTGCTTGCAGGGTCTGCAGGAAAGGTGGTGGGGGGGGTCTTTATCAGAGGGTGTAGAGACAGGGCGAGGGAGAACGGCGTTAAACTGGAAGAGGGGAGATTTCCATTAGAAATTCGACTGTGAGGGTGATGGGAGACGGGAACAGGCCGCCCAGAGAAGCTGTGGACGCCCCGGGAGCGTTCGAGGCCGGGTTGGACGGGTCTGGGAGCAACCCGGTCTAGTGGGAGATGTCCCTGCCCTCGGCAGGGGATGGATGGTCCTTAAGGTCCCTTCCAGCCCAAACAATTCTGTGATTTTGCAGTTGGGAGTAGCTGGAAATCTCCCAGCGTTGCAGGAGATCCGTGGTGCCGAAGGAGCCGGTCTCAGAGCTCACTCGAGGCCGGGATTGTGCCCAAGTGCTCATAAAACCCTGCCGCCCCCTACATCTTGTTGAAACGAGAGCTCTCTATTTGCTTTTCCTTCGTCCCTCCAGGTTTATGCGATGTGGCAGACGAAAATCCGACGATCCCAGTAAAACGCCGCCGGGGGACGGCGGAAATGGAAGGGAAATACATCATCAACATGCCCAAGGGCACAACGCCGAGGACAAAGAAAATCCTGGAGCAGCAAGCAGCCAAAGGTACCAGCGGGGGGTTTTGATCTTCATTTTCTCTTCCAGAAGCCCAGTTTAGTCCCGATTTACCCCGTCATTACAAATCCCACGAGGATTTTCATATCCGGAGAGTTATTGGGTAGAAGTTGTGTTCTTCCAAGGATATATTAACTCACCACGAGCCATAGAGGTTCCGCTCACGTCTATTTAAGCCTTAGGAAGAAGGGGACGGGTGGCCATTCACGTGCTTTTAAGTGGATTTTATTTTGCCGGGTGCCCCAACGGGGCTGAAAGGCCGCAAGCCCTCAGCGCTGACCTGGCGTAGCTTCATTTTCTGGGGAAACCTCCAAAAAAAACCACGTTCTCTTGAAAACTGCAGGTCTGCAGAGGACGTCCGTCTCCGCCCGGCGGGGAGCCGAGGCGAAAGCAGACACGACCGCAGGAGGGAAGGTGAGAGGAGGCGGGTTTTCGGCTGCGGCTCCGTTTTAGCCGTCGCTTTCTGCGGCTGTGCCGAACCCCACCGAGATCCTGACGGGAGGGTCCTCTCCCCGAAGATTATTTCGGGATTCGCAGCCGCCCGCTCACGGCGGAGGGCTGAAGAAACCTTGAAATAACCAGGAAATGGTGGGGAAACACTGGGGAAAAGCAGGATCCCTGATCCCAGGGTCGTCCCCATCTGCGTTTCTATTTTGACCCCTTTAATGGGGGATACAGGAGGTTTCTTCTCTCCTCTGGAGGCAAAAAGCTCTTTATTTGGGGATACAGGAGATTTTTTCTCTCCTCTAGAGGTAAAAACCTCAGCGTGGAAGTCTTGGGGTGTAAAACAAGTTGCAGACTCAGCCCCTCAAGAAAAACAAGAGGGAGTATGATTTTATGGGTGATTTATAGAACTGTTTTATAGCCTAATCATTAATTTAATTGCTGCAGGCAGCGTTTTGCATCATTACATCTCAAAAACGCTTCGCGGCCGAGGCCAGCGTCCATCTTGCCTCCGTCACGGTGGCAGAATTCGGGGGGCAAAGGGGAAGGGGAGCACCTGAAATGGGGGTGAGGGTGCTGACGGGCTCCCGCCCCCCCCTTGTCTCCCAGCCCACGGGGGTCTTCAGCAGACTGGGTGACGCCTTGGGGACCGATGGGGACAAAGCCACCGAGAGCGACGACGACTGCTCTGTCCTCCAGTACGCCGGCGTCCTCAAAAAACTCGCCAAACCTCCCCGTAAGGAAGGCGCTGAGCCGGGAGGGACCATCAAGGCGAAAGCCACCAGTTCGGAAGCCAAACTGGTCCCCATCACCGTCCAGCGGCTCGG